AAAAATATTTTGATAATATTAACAACAACAGTGAATGAGATAACAATGTGCAAAATGAAATAAATAATCATATGTCATGCATGGTGACAACAGTAGGGGGAAAGATGACAGAATTTAAATGAATATAATGACATATAATAATTATTATTATTTTCAGACAGCAATTAGGGCAATAATAATATATCTACAGGTAAATATAGAAGTATTCTTACTTATATTGAATGTTGAGATTTTCATTTTGGTACGATAATATCTGTAAATAAAATTCTAGATAGAAATCATAAGGTTAACAACATTTTAAAATAATGGTACTATCAATGAAACCCATATTAATATAATAATAATATCTGAAAATCTGGGATAATCATATTCTAGCAACAATAATAATATCGGTAATAATACTAATAGTAATTACAATAACAACTCAAAAAGACATAATATCAATAAATAAAGCATGAAAATGAAGGTGATCATGATGACAATGACAAGGTTAATCATAATAGCAGACATAGTAACAAACACTGCCAAATATTAAAAGGAAATTTTATGAGTTTTATGAGTAGTACAAGCAGGAGTTCAAGTAGGTATAAAAAGAAAAGTTAACCGTGGAAAAAGTAGAACCAATAATGTAACTGAAAATGAGCAAATCCACCTCATTTTAGAAACATTTTGCCACACAATCACTATCTCTATCAAATCTTTCTTTAAAACAATATACATTTCTTCTAAACAAAATAGAATGATTTCTTAAACTGCCTTGACATCGATAATATATGTTTCTCCTTACTTTTTAGTGAAATAAGAGTGATCTTTACAGCATACACTGTTGTTCAATATATAACATTGCCTAACAAAAATATGCCTAAAATAATGTCAAAGGTACTAAATTATGTATTTTTAAACTTGAAAATTTAGTTTTCATAATTTAGTACAATGATTTTGGTTATTCTATACTGCATGGTATTATAATTATTATTATCTTTCAAGGTTAATCATAATAGCAGACATAGTAACAAACACTGCCAAATATTAAAAGGAAATTTTATGAGTTTTATGAGTAGTACAAGCAGGAGTTCAAGTAGGTATAAAAAGAAAAGTTAACCGTGGAAAAAGTAGAACCAATAATGTAACTGAAAATGAGCAAATCCACCTCATTTTAGAAACATTTTGCCACACAATCACTATCTCTATCAAATCTTTCTTTAAAACAATATACATTTCTTCTAAACAAAATAGAATGATTTCTTAAACTGCCTTGACATCGATAATATATGTTTCTCCTTACTTTTTAGTGAAATAAGAGTGATCTTTACAGCATAAACTGTTGTTCAATATATAACATTGCCTAACAAAAATATGCCTAAAATAATGTCAAAGGTACTAAATTATTTATCTTTAAACTTGAAAATTTAGTTTTCATAATTTAGTACAATGATTTTGGTTATTCTATACTGCATGGTATTATTTAAAAAAAAATATTCATGTTTTCATTTAAAGATAATGTCATTTTAGTAAGACAGCAAATGAGATAAAAAAAAAAATTCTTTTCATATCTTCTTTAAACTGTATCTTACTTCAATATCTTCCTGTTAAATATACATGGATTCAACAGCTGTTAATAATGTTTTTCATTATATTTCTGTGTGCTGAATGGTTACATGCACAAAGGTATCCTAGCCCTGATTTAGTGCCTGGAACTTTTGAGCATCTCTGGTGCCATGAATGATTAGGACCCCAACTATTCCTAGCACACAGGGGTGGGGTGGAGACCTATAGCACCTGTAGGTCAAGGGCATACAGCATTTGACCTGCCTACCTTCATATATCATATTATAATTATTATTACTCATTATATCTCCTATTGCATTAAGTTCTTCATATTGCAGAAATAACCTTCTTTTACACATTTAAATCACCTTCATGCCGACTTCTGAATGCTGGAACATAATAATTAAAGCACTTTCGCTTTGTACTGCAAAACTTGGTTGGTATGCTGATATGTATTGCTTACAACATATGTTCTTATTGACCAGTTTCATTTTTTTGGTCTATTGTATGTTTTGCATTTGTATTACTGCATTGCCTGTGCTTATAAGAAAGAGAGAAAGAAAAAAAAAATATACACATGACAAATAATCATCTAAAATTAGCTGTCCACAGTGAGTGTCATTTCAGTCACTAATTACCAGTTGTGTTAAAGTCACATTTGTTTCACAAACAGCGTGGATGTCTGACCTAACAGCCCATCCCTTCAGTTATTCCTTACTAAAGAATACTCAGAAAGTACATGCTGCATGCCTTATTAGACTATAATACCCAGCTCATTGACAACTATAAGTCACTTTTACACTTCTGCATAACTTTTTTTGGCCAACTGTTCTGCATATGTGCAAACTTCATCCTCAGTGTTCCACAAGCCTATATCTGAACTGAACATTAATCGGTGACTATACATCACTCTTTCAAACACATCTCCATTCACTTTCCATCAATTAACTTC